CTTATAAGTGACTAGCAAAGAAATGATTTTCAACTAAAAAGAAACATTCGCACTTGATACTCATGGGGAAAAAAAAACGTTCCCTTCTATTACTTTATGCTGTGAACCCAAATGGCAGTTGGGAGAAATTACATTCAGCTTTCAGATGTGATTCATTGAGATAGAAGAAAAACTGGTAAAATGGAGCAAGAGAAGTCATCAGAGGGAAGAAAAAAAATGCAGGCAATGGAAAGAAACAACAAATATTTCACAAGAATGAAAGACTTCTGCTTACATTTTATCTAAATATTTGTTCACATCTTCATCTTTTTCATAATCCTTACACAGTTGGGCAACCAGAGCTCCATAGGTGAGGACGAAGAGATCTTTGTTCTGGATAAAAAGGGATGGTTTTTGTTATAGTAAAATTTACGATAACATATGACTGTACTTCTTTTTGTTTCTGTTTTTTTAACAAAATCTTCTGGTTGGAAGCAGCCTTAGAGATCATCTGTTCGTTTTTTACACGCTTCTATTAATATTATTATAACAATTTACACTTTTGAGAACATATTATACTCATATTTGGATATTTGTGGGTGTCAGGGGGAAAGCTATGAAATAAAATAAATTTCTTAACATGAGAACATCTTTCTATGTATTTGCTTACATTATATAACTTGCAATGTATTTTCATGGAGGAAAGTTTTTTAAGAATATTAATTTCTAATATAAATTTCTATTTTTCTAGAATAGCCTTTGACATCTGCTGACTGTGTTTTCGCATTTTGGAAGGAAGAACTGGGTAAGACTTCTTATGAGACTGCACAATTCCTAATGGGTCCTGGATCTGCCAAGAAGACTTTTAGGATGAACCCAACTGTAGCAACAAATTCGTGAGTTCTTTTTCTTTTTGCTTAGAGAAAAAAGTGAGTTTTCCTTCTAGATCACCAAAATATGCCTCATTTTTATGGTGAATTATAAATGAAAACTAAAACTGAGGACAAATTAGGTTTGGTTTAGCATAGATATGTTGAATATATGAGAAACAAAACAAAAAGCTCAATCCATTTTGAAAAGCCTCTCAGTTTTGCTTCTGCTATTGAATACTATCTATAAAAGGGAAGGGGGTCTTAGAGATAATTTATTCCAATGCTTTCATTCCTACAGAGGAGAGAATGAGTCTCGGAGGGACTGGATGACTTGCCCAGCTAGCCAGCAGTTGTCCAGAATGGCATCTCAGACTCCAGACCTCCACGCTGATACAGCATTTATCTCTAAGATGTGCAAAGGAAGGCCCCACTTGGAGTAAAGGTGAATGGGAGAGGAAAGTAGGAAGGAGGACCACTATTGAATATAAGCTTATTTTGTGTATAATCCTGTATTTTCATGAAAGGTCAAATGTGGATTACAGGTAGAAGAGGTGTCCTTATCTTTTGGCCCAGGTATTTTGGATACTCTAATATGTAGGGGAAGATAAGGCCTGATAATATATATTCTTTGTTTTAAGCATGGGCAGAAATGGTTTCAAAAATCAATAAAAATGGTATATTTAACAAAGTGGCTGCTATAAAATATTACATAATTTTGATGCAAATGCTTACAAAGTTGTCCCAACATCACCAGTGTCCCCTCCCTTATTTATGGGTTTATATCATGACAAATATGTTTCTTCAGTAAGGTAAAATATTTATTATCACAAAATAAATTTTAAATGGATAGAGTCTAAATATTATATGCTACATATGAACATAATTCATTTGGAAAATATAAATCAAAGTGTCTTAAATGTATGTAGAATATATAGCATATACATTAATTAACATTATGTGAAGGACACTAATATATACAATTTAGGTATATGATCATTAGGAAAATAATGAGTACCTTAATATTTTTGCTAGGAAACAAGGTTATAAGGTAAGTGATATAAACAACAATGTTGTTAAAACACTGCAGGGCCACCATGTATTCAATTTTAATTCCATTCTTCTTATTTAAATCTCCAAGTACTTAATCATAAATCACAAGAAATGCCTGTAAATTATAAATGAAATATCTGCCTAACATATAAGAAGCCACAGCAAAAGACAAAGTACCGCTATTACCAATGCTACAGCGTAAAAATAAGTAAAGGAGAAAGAGAGAGACAGAGAATGATAATGTGTTTGTTGCCACTAGCAGTAAAATAAAATAATTTTAAAAAGACAGAAGAAGAGGAGAAAAAATTATACCCTACCTATATGCCATAGCCTCAGCATTGTGCTCATTTATAATTAAGGCCAAATTGAATAATGGCATTTTCTTCTCTCTCTCTGTCTCTCTGTTTTCTCTTCTCTCTCTGAGGGGTGGGTGGTACTGTTATATTTTGAAACATATTTTACTTCCACCTGAGTTTCAAGTTCAATATCCATAAAGGGCTCATTTTCTCCATTCTGCTTCATGTCAAGGGTGGTACCTTGAACTACATGTCCAGTGGGTCTCAAATCCATACCATGGATCCCAGGAAAGGTCAACATAAATTTATCTTCATGGTTTTTAAAACAATAAAGAAGATCATTTTATATGTGAAAAATAGAACACTATTATTTTAAGAGGTTTTAGATGTATCAGGATGAAAATATGTTTTAACTGCTAGATAAATCAAGTAATTTGGGTACAATACGAAGATGAACTATGTACAATAATTGTTAGCATTTGAGAACCTCATGGGAAAATAAATCAAATTTCCAGACAGGGCATTTGCAGGAGTTTCAAACTTGAGGGGGAGGGTGCTAGTTAGTCACTATAATTCTAAGTACCCTAGGGCTGAAATTACTTAATTATATAAAATGCCCATCAGTCTCCTGAAATAATTAACACGGCTTTAATTTTAATGATGAGTTTTTCACATATGTAAGCTTTGAATGACTAAAACTATAAGAGAGGACTAAAGAAGAATATTTATCCAAATCTAATCTGCAAAAAATTAAGTTTTAAAAATAACTCTGAACTTGGAATATATAGGAGGATAATATCACATACCAAATTACAATAATAAATACTTATATTTAATACTAGGGAATATGTTTTGAAGGCAACCTTTTAATATCTAGTTTTTTGATGATCTATCCCTATTTAATTTTACACATAATCAACTATTTTACATTTCACACATTTCATTTCCTATTTCATGAAGTATAAAATACAAAGAATTGCTTAATCTTTTCATATTTTCTGTCAGAGGCAAAAGAAAAATTTGACACTTCATGGATATAATTAGTCATATAAGAAGATCCTAAAATCTGTATAAAGAATTGATTATTCTGTTACAGTATATAAGAGATAATTGTAACAATTACTAGAGGTGTCATTCATTCCACAAAACATTCTCTTTGCTCCAGTGAAAAATTCTTATAGCATCACCTTTCAAAATAAATCAGAAATAATGCAATAAAACATTTTTAATGAAGTAGAAAAAGTCTCTTTATAAAAAGATCTTACTATTTTATGGTATTCTGGTCTTCCGTGTGCAGGGCGAGACATAGTGCTTGATAGATGAAGAATGTGATCTTCAATTTCTTTTCTTTTGCCTATACCTTAGAGGTGTATCGGTCTTTATCCTTTTGTTTTTACAAGTTCTTCCTTGGTTTGAGACAGGAGCGCTACTTCTGCACTCTACTGCTTTTGCTCTTTGCTGAACTGAAGAGGGGAAAAATAGTCATGAACAATAGAATTGTCTTATAGCCCAGTAACTTGCCACGTATCAAATAACTGTTTCATTTGTGAGGATGAGTTGTAATCTAGAACCACAAAAGCTGATAGTGTGAAGTCAGACCAGAAGCACTGAGACACTAAAAATTCTTTAGCCCCAGGGAGTTCAAGAGTGGTGTTTTGTTCTCATGCCAAGGCATTGTTTTAAAATCACAAACAGAAACCTTCACAATCCAGGATAGATCTAAATGTTAGCATTATTTAGTCTTGTATTGATTGTTGTGTGAATTAGAGAGACAGGATCAGCAATCTGTAGGTACTAAATCCTGAGTTCAAACCTGATCAACACCACCAACGGGTAGCGCATTGTCCCCAAAACCTAGACCCCCATATTGTATGATTACAATATTCAAATATGTCTGAAAGTCTTTTTTTCCTTTTCCTTAGCAGCAATCAGCAAGCAATTTTAAGGAGCAATAGAATGGTTGATATTTTCTTACAAAACTGTTGCTCAAAATGGGTACTCTACAGTTTAATAATGTATAATGATTCTGGCAGAGAAAGCAAGCCCTTAGCTTTCTTTCGATTATTCCTAAGATGTTAGCTATTGAAGACTTTCTTCATTTATATAGAAGTATAGATGTTTAAAGTTCAAGCAAAAAAATCCTTTCATCTTGACAACTGTAGGATGCAGAAGATCAAAATCTTTGCAGGAACAGCAGCACAAAACTCAATTTAGGAAAGTAGTTTCCTGCTTCTTACAGCTTGAGTCATTTAGTCTTGTTTGTTCTGGCAAATTCTTGCTATAAAGTGACAGACTAGTTCATACTTTGAAGAAAAGTGTGATGTAGTTTAAAGAACACAGGAGGATTTGGGAGGCTCAGGCTAAGTTGCAGTTCTACCATTTACTGGTTCTGTGACTTTGGGCAAGCCATTTTACTGTTCCATGGCTCAGTTTCCACCTCTGCGAAATGGCAACAATACTACCCACCTCATAGAATAATTGTGAGTATCAAAGAGGTAATTAGCGCTATGAAATGCATTATAATACACTATATAAAAACTAATTACTATAGGTTATTCTTGTAGTTGAATAGACTGAATGGAATTCTACAATATTTAAGGTATTTCCATTAGTTCCTATGTTCTATGACACAAAGATCTCAGGAAAATCAGTTTTGCTGGGTTGTCGGGAGAGGGTGGGGGGCTTTTCAGTGGCAATTAATAACAAATTATATTTATATAAACTTTCCTGTTTACAACGTGGTTTTCATTCTCTTTACCTCATTTTAACTCAGCTACAATCTGCGAGGTAGTCAGTACTGTAATCATGGCCATTTTATATGATAGGAATCTAAAACAAGAGAGGTTAAGAAATTTGTTCAAGGTTACCTGAATAGTGGGCAACAAAGAGAGATTTGGGCTAAATTTGCTGACTCCAAATCAAAAATTTTTTTCTAGTGCACACATTCTGATTATGTTAGAACAAAATGTTAGAGGTAGACTCATAAAAGCTACTAAGGTGCAGTGATGGCATGTTGCTAGGCCTGGTTTGGGGACAATTTTGGGTTCCAGGTAAGAGCTCTCTGAGAAAACACAAAAAGGCCTGTGTGCTTGGTGGGAGGGGATGGTGGTACTAGAATGGCTGGTCCTGTGGGAGTACCTGGGCAACTGAATAGAGACTTGGGAAGATGCTAACAGAGGACAACATCCACTGATCCGCCAGCTATATGATCTTCATCTGAGATCATCCACAAACAATCAGAGAAAGCAAATCTACTTCCAGCTACCATAATATCTGGTCCAGGAACTTCTTATCTTGTTGCAACTTGTTTTTCTATTTCAGGCTGCTCTCAGTGTTTATTTTAACCTATGTTTACATAAAATTGTTGTATGATTTTCTCTGCAACTCACCTCCCTGTCCGTCCCCACCAAGGATAGCTCTGGTGCTCAGATCTGATTTTCCTTGTCCATGTGCCAGCATGTGCTCAGTGAAAGAGCTGGTGGGTCCCTGCTGAGGAGGAGACATGTGATAACTATATGTTGAATAGACAGATGACAGCAAGCTATCTTTAACAAGGAGACCATTTGACTATAAAGACTATTTTGGCCTGAATGTCCCCCAAAATTCATGTGTTGAAACTTAATCCCTGTTGTGGTGGTATTAAGAGGTGGGGCCTTGTGGGAAGTCTCTGCCCTCATGAATGGATTAGTGCCTTATAAAAGGGATGAAGGAAACTAGCTTTGACCTTGTTTTTTGCTCTTCCTCCTTGTGAGGGTAAAGCATTCATCTTCCCTTGTCCTTCTGCCATCAGCCATGTGAGGACACATGAACAAGGCACCATCTTGGAGGCAGAGAGCAGCCCTCACAGGACACCAATGCCAGCACCTTGTTCTTGGACTTCCCAGCCTCCAGAACTGTAAGAAATACATTTCTGTTTT